GCGAAGAATGCGAAGAGGATTTATGCTATATGTCCGCATATTAAATTAAATAGTGATGGTTACAAAGAAGAAGGAATAACATATCCATCGTCGTTTATGCAAAGTATTTTACTAACAGAATTTTACAATGAATGCGGAATACCGACATCTTGTTTGGATTATGTTGAAGCACATGGTACCGCTACCAAAGTTGGCGATCCTCCAGAAATTAATGCTATCTCTAATGTATTGTGTAAGAACAGAGAAACTCCATTAATGATCGGCTCTGTAAAATCCAATCTTGGTCATGCTGAAGCTGCTAGTGGTTTCGATCAAATTGCTAAGGTAAAACAACTGGTTTCCGTCTTCATTAATTATTATAAAATTTGTTTTTATTTTACGTTATCACATATATACACAAAAAGAGAAGATTTATTGAAAAATATTCATAATATAAAATAAAAATAATAAAAATTATTCGAGAAAGTTACTTTGTCGTAGAATTTAATATTGTAAGTATTAAATTTGTTAGTGATTAATTACACAGTGTGACGAAAAAACACTTTTTATGTTTCCAAAATGCGATAATACGTTTCTCGAAAATTTGTTTAATGCTAAATACGATGCCGTTGGCAGAATTCATCTAGCACATCAGAATTTTGAGTAAATTGGAAAAGGGCCAAAATAAGTGTTGACCACTTTTAGCATTTTTTTGGTACAATTAAAAAAGAAGCTGCGGTTTCTAAATAAACTCCACAGTATCTGAAAGTATAATTTAAGAGCTTTCAAACAAACAATGATTTCGTATCTTAAGACAAAACATATTCTTGACGAATTTAATCTTATTACAATCTTAAGTATTATAAAAACCAAATAATATTAAGGTATTAGATCAATTTTACCTATTCTTCTTCTTCAAATTAAATAAAATTAAATTATTGTTTTAATGTGATACAAAAGTAAAAATTTAAGTTTATATATATATAGGACGTTTTGCGTTAAGCGGGCCACTTCTCTTTCCGAAATTTAACACAATGAAAACAATTTTTGAGATCTCAAAATATTCGTATATTTATGTTTTGAATGGAACGTAGCCTTTTGAAAAATTTAATATGGCGCCGCAGCTCAAATATGGCGTCTAAGAACCACAAAAATCACGAAATCTTATAGTATCTTTTATTGAAATGCGATAACTTCAGAAATTGGCTTGAAAATGATTACTATGAAGTTTTTGAGGTCTTTGATTATGAATCTAGAAACAGAATTACAAAATTAAAAATGGCGGATTTAAAATGATCGAATTTGGAATCATTACATAAAATGTAATTATGTCTTATTAGTACATAATTGTCGTTATATCGAGTCTATACTTTATGATGACCACTGGTTCAACGGCAGAGAAGACATTTGCAATTTTTTCTTTTAATGGCAAGGAAAGCATGTCTACTTTAGTTGCGGAGATGCAAAAAATTGTTTCATCGTGTGATCATCGTAGAGTATTAAACTCGACATAATGACAATTATAATACATTTCATGTACTGATTCTAAATTTGATCATTTTAAATTCGCCATTTTTAATTTTGTAATTTTATTTCTAGATTCGTAACCAAAAACCTCAAAAACTTTATAGTAAAATAAAATTGTCAAGCCAATTTCTGAAGTTTTCGCATTTCAATCAAAGATACTGTAAGATTATTCGATTATATATATATATTTTTTTACATTAATAAACTTTGACCTAATATTATATCGCACGATACTGACACCATAGTATTCAAAGCAAAACCGATATATTACTCTTTTTCTCATTGTTTTATTTTAGATTCAAAAAATTTCCATTCAAGAGCAAAACATTCCCCTTTCAACTTTAATATAACCGGCTCAATATTGCTCCTATTTGATGATAAATTAATAAAGAGTTATAGCATTGAATTCGGAGATTTTTTCTATAGGTGTTATTATAATTAAAATTATTATTGATTTTTAAAGGTAATAATAGCATTTGAAACCGGTTTTGTTCCACCAAATATCA